TCTGTGGGTTCTGGGACTGAAAATTAAAAAAAAAAAATCTCTGTAAATTCTTGGCTTAGTGGCCAAAAATAATCTTTGCTTTTTATACCTCTCCCATTCCCAACCCCTTTGGGCTCAGCTGATTTAACAAACATCTTTCTTTTCTTTTTTTTGAGATGGGGTCTTGCTATGCTGCCCAGGCTAGGCTCAAATTCCTGGGCTCAGGAAGTCCTCCTGCCTCAGCCTCTCAAGTAGCTGGGATTACAGGTGTGCATCCATATCTGGGTCCTAACAATTTTCTTTCCCTCTTCTGTGAGGGAGGGTCTCACTCTGTCACCCAGGCTGGATGGCAGTGGTGCAATCATGGCTCACTGCAGCCTTGACCTCCCAGGCTCAAGTGATTCTCCCACATAGGTGGAAGTAACTATAGGCAGGCAACACCATGCCCGGTTAATTTAGAAAAATTTTTTTTTGTAGAGACAGGGTCTGTTTTGCCCTGGCTGTCTTAACAGTTCATAATCTTCATGAATGTGGACAGTTAGAAGGAAAACCATGACTCTCACCTCTTTTTCTAACAACACAGTTACAGCAAGTAGAGATTAAAACTCATTGGCTTACCTAGAACACTAAGAGAGGAAAGATACCTGGTAGGTCATAGCAATGGTTCATACAAGAGAACATCTGCCCCTAACCCTACAAATTCTTGAAAATCTAACAACTACCCACATTCTTTCTTCACAGCCTACAGCATGACCAGCAGTTCTGTACTGTTGCCCAATCCCGGATCACTAGGAACCAGAAATCCTTATCAGTTTGGAAAAAGGGGAAAAACAGAAAAGTATTGGTAAATGTCATCACTTTTTTCCTCCCTGAGAAATCAGGAAATCTGTCCATATAAGCCACTCATCACCGTGGTTTTCACAATAAGAAGGTAGCAAACTGTATTACACACTAGAAAATTCAGCTAGGTTGGCCAGGCGCGGTGGCTCATGCCTGTAATCCCAGCACTTTGGGAGGCCAAGGCGGGCGGATCACCTGAGGTTGGGAGTTCAAGTCCAGCCTGACCAACATGGAGAAACCGTCTCTACAAAAAAAAAATAATAACAAAATAAGGGCCAGGCGTGGTGGCTCATGCCTGTAATCCTAGCACTTTGGGAGGCCAAGGTGGGTGGATCACCTGAGGTCAAGAGTTCAAGACCAGCCTGGCCAACATGGTAAAACCCCATTTTATTTAAAAAAAAAAAAAAAAAAAAAAAAAAAAAAAAAAAAAAAAAAAAAAAAGAATTAAAATAATAATATAAAAAATAAAAAGAAAATTCAGCTAGGCTGAACTAGTTGAGTTTAGATGCAGGTTTCTTTAGGTAATGAAGAAACTGAAGAAAAAAATGTTTTAAAAGCCAAAGGAGCTAGCTTAAGTCCCTAATGAAAAGCCTCCTCCTGAAATGTAAGGCTAAGTGTACAAACAGAACCAAGGCATCTGATATGCTGATCTTCAAAGCCCAGCACCACCATATTGGTTTTCTCTAGAGTTGGAGTTTTAAAATCAAGAACTTGAAGGTACAGAAAGAAAGGCAGGCCAAGTAAAGGAGGAAGGCATTATAGAGACATCATTGGAAGTATGTTCAACTCCTTGGCCTCTGAAGGGGCATGACACACATAGAACCCTTAGTGATTATGTGGGATGCTTCTGTTTACCTTGCATGACTACAGAAGCAAGAATCCTGTTTGAAAATCCTCACCCTATTTTGAATGTTTAAGATAGTGACTAAAGCCCTATGATGGCTGGATTCTTTAAACAAATAGGCAGTACTTTCGGAGTTCTGGAGACTGGAAGCTTTTTTTAATTTTTTTGAGACAGAGTCTCGCTCTTGTCACCCAGGCTGGAGTGCAGTGGCGTGATCTCAGCTCACTGCAACCTCTGCTTCCCAGGTTCAAGTGATTCTCCTGCCTCAGCCTCCTGAGTAGGTGGGATTACAGGCACCTGCCGCCACACTGGCTAATTTTTTGTATTTTTAGTAGAAACGAGGTTTCACTAGATTGGCCAGGCTGGTCTCGAACTTCTGACCTTGTGATCCACCCACCTCAGCCTCCCAAAGTGCTGGGATTACAGGCGTGAGCCACCTCGCTCGCTGGGCCGACAAGCAGCTTTTTTTAAGGTAAAGGTTTCTTATCCAAAGCAAAGCAAAAAGTTTAAAAAGTGCTATAAAGTTCATGTCCCTGCTAGGTTAGAGCTTTAAAAAAGAGATGGGAGGAGAAACTGCCACTGCCACTTGGTTCCCTCTTCCTATATGCTTTTGATGTCTCCTAGCTAAAAATTTCCTGGTTTCTCATGTGAGCTGCTGAAAGAGGTCTTATAAACCTGAAATGGTAACAGCAATGCTGAATAAAAAGAGGAATGAGAAAAAGTGCTAAGGACTAGTCACACCTCTATTGATCGACTCAGACGATTGGCTTTGGTAGTCATGGTTAACTGACATCTGTTTGAATCCCATCAGAGTCTTGAATCAGGCTGTGTTAAACGGTGTATTAAACTATTCTTGTATGCCCCAATCTCTACTTATTCTCAATGATGACTGTATTTAAATATACTTGTATTCCTCCAAGTACTTGGATAAATAATGATAGCTAGGATATGACTGGACCCTAGATTTATATTACAGTTTCAAGAAGAGATAACCAACCACGTATACATAACATTTTGTTCTTTAGAAAGTACAGAGGTCCTGGATAGATCACAGGAGGTCTGTCTCTCCAAAATAAAATTGTAACAAAATTACACTTATCTCGAAATAACTGTGCACCAACAAAGTGATATCAATATATTTTAAATGCCGGTACTGACTGACATTTGAATTTGCAGTGACTTCATGCAAGCCAAAACAAAAAGACTAGCAGGTAAGTTCATTGCCTATAAGTTTGTGACTTTTACAAACCCCACATTTACATCAGTAAGTAGCAATGCAGTGCAAAAGCTATCTGGTATTCCAGTGGGATTCTATGGTAGGAAACTGATGTGCAGGAAAGGTTGACAATGTATCTGATTTTACGGGACTCCTTATTTAGTTACCAAAACCTCCTTCTTACTTAAACTATACATGCTAAATATAGTCTCTGCATCTCTCCTTGGTTCTTTCATTCATCTTTCTGTTCTTCAAAAAAAAGTTAAAAAAAAAAAAAAAACTTTGGGATATCTCAAGGGCTTATTAAAGCCCTCACATGCTGATAGTGACTAAACATAACTTATACTCAAGACATTAAAAACAAAACTTTACAAACAATAATATTGCTTACATCCTCCACTACTCATAATGTGCACAAACATACCACAGCTGATGACAAGACACCCAGGAGATTTTGGATTGGGAATCTTTACCAGTAAAAGGAGCAATTTCAAGAGTTAAAATGTTTAACACTGGCACAATAGTCATGAAAAAAGAAAAAAAGAAAAAGAACAACAGCAACAAAATGTATAACATGAGTTTTTTTTTTTTTTTTTTTTTTTTTTGGAGACAAAGTCTTACTCTGTCACCCAGGCTAGAGTGGAGTGGCAAGATCTTGGCTCACTGCCACCTCCCCCTCCTGGGTCCAAGTGATTCACCTGCCTCAGCCTCCTGAGTAGCTGGGATTACAGGCGTGCGCCACCATGCCCGGCTAATTTTTTTGTATTTTTAGTAGAGACGGGGTTTCACCATGTTGGCCAGGCTGGTCTCGAACTCCTGACCTCAAGTGACGCGCCTGCTTCAGCCTCCCAAAGTGCTGGGATTACAGGCGTGAGCCACTGTACCCAGCTGTAACATGACTTTCATATACTGTTTTTCCATTTTGTTCCCAATCCTTCCCCTATTAATACTTGATGGATACAAAAAGACAAGTTGATCCTGGGTATAAAAATGCCAAAAATCCTCTTCACTTAAACTTTGGTTTAACTGAAAAAATAACTTTAAAAGGGTGATTTTCAGATTTGTTCTTTGGTCAGGCAGTATAAAGCTCTCTGAAAGAAGTCCCTTTACCTGGTTATAGTATGAAAACAGTCAAAATAGAAAATGTCAGTTTAGGAAAGAGATATGTATGTTCATAATTTCTCAGAAAAGAAGAAAAAAATGTATAGACAGGCAGACCCTAGCCCCAGACGCCAGGTTCAGTTGTCTTAGGACATCAAGAACAAAAGAGAACTAGCATTCAGAAGAGTAATATTTAAGGGGGTTAGCTTCTAAAAGGCCTCAATAAATAAATCAAATCCTTAAACAGGAACATGATAAATGATTTCTGAGCAGAGGATTTACCAACATTTTCCTTTATCAGTTTAAATCTTAATCTGGACCCAGACCCAGCCAGAGGCTGTGGTAATTTTGGTATAGAAAGCGGTAGGGAATGCAAGCCACAGACTCTGCAAGGAGTAACAATTCCTCCCACACTGCCCCTGCCCCTCATCCACCAGGAGTGCACATCATTCTACAGAGCAGCTTTGTACCCAACACTCAGATGTGCGAGGGGCCTTCTCACCAGGGTGGAATATGGTGCTTTGACAACAGTAAGTGCTTTAAAAAGGGGGTGGGATGTGTTATGGTTAGAGCTTGGGAAGAACCAGAATTTGGGCACATCCTCCGACTGTGACCATTATGAAGAAATATTTGATGGTAAAGGAAGAAATCATCTGGTGACCAGACAAAATGGAATAAGACCAAACCCTTGGGAGGTTACACAGTAAGCCTTTCAGCAGTCATCGTTTACTGTTTTTCTTAAAAGACTAAACTTAAGATTAAAGGGTGAATACTTCAGTTGTTTACTTGAATGGCTAAAGAAAGATTCCAAGGTTGGCCACCTCTGAGACCTGGATGGGAAGTAAGTGGAAGGCACTTGCTCCCTAGGGAGGAGGGCCAGGTAAGTCTCCAGGCTGTGGAGCCAGAGCCAGCAGTAGCTCTTGATGGGCCCAAGTCTGTGAGGTGCTGGGAGAGGGGAATGGCCTGGCCTGTGTGGTTGGCCAGAGACAGGCTAGGGTCAGCGTGATTTCACAAGTAGAATGGTTATAAAATAAAATGTTTTTTTAATGGACCAAAAAAGCAAAGTGAGTCACCTTTGTTTTTAAAGGTGAGATTTAGCAAAGGAAGGATTTGAAGCAGTTTTTACTATTTACAAAATGTCATTTAGAGTGGAGATGGCCACCTTCAGTAGTTGAGGAAATGTCTTTCACATGAGATGGCCACAGAAGTGCGGTTCCTGGAACCGGCTCACAAAGGCCACACGCTGTCCTGGGCGAGGGAGAGTTCCTCTGAGGGAGCACCAAAAAGGCTCAGTCTTCTGTTTCTTCATAGGTCGTCTCGTCAAAGGGCCTGTCCAGTAGAGGCACCAGCCGATGACGGGAATACTTCAGCTGCAATAGGTCCCCAACTTCATCTATCTCCTTTAAAGCCTGAAATATACACGACACAGTAGAGGTATGTCAGAGCCAGGAGGATGCAGCATGCCTGGTGTTTTACTTTGCTAAAACTATCATGGCAAGATTATCCTATGGCAGGACTTATGTCTACTGCATTTATAAGATCAGACTATAATACAGCTGTGGGAGGAGCTGCTTTCTTTCTTTCTTTTTTTTTTTTTTTGAGATGGAGTCTTGCCCCGCTGCCCAGGCTGGAGTGCAATGGAGTGTTCTTGGCTCACTGCAAACTCTGCCTCCCGTGTTCAAACGATTCTCCTGCCTCAGCCTCCCAAGTAGCTGGGATTCTAGGTGTGCGACACAAACCACGACTAATCTTTCTTTAGTAGAGACAGGGTTTCACCATGTTGGTCAAGCTGGTTTCGAACTCCTGACCTTGTGATCCACCCGCCTCAGCCTCCCAGTGTTGGGATTAGAGGAGTGAGCCACGGTGCCCAGTTGAGCTACTTTTTGAACAAGGCCTTCAAACTCACCATGAATAATGGGTTGTGAATAGCCAGGTATGCAGAATAAAGGCTATAATTCAAAGTATGATATACTTGGTAGAAAAAGTTATGTGCACCCTGAACTCACAAAACTGACTACAATTTGTCATCTCTCCCTTTTTGAGATGGAGTCTTGCTCTGTCACTTAGGCTGGAGTGCTGTGGTGCCATCCCAGCTCACTGCAATCTCTGCCTCCCAGGTTCAAGCAATTCTCCTACCTCAGCCTCCCAAGTAGCTGAGATTACAGGCACCTGCCACCACGCCTGGCTAATTTTTGGATTTTTAGTAGAGATGGCATTTCACCAAGTTGGCCAGGCTGGTCTCAAACTCCCAACCTCAAGTGATCCACCACCTTGGCCTCCCAAAGTACTGGGATTACAGGCATGAGCCAACAACCCGGCCATTTTTTTTTTTTTTTTTTT